ACCTGATACTCACACCTTATGCCTGATACTCACACCTTATACCTGATACTCACACCTTATACCTGATACTCACACCTTATACCTAATACTCACACCTTATACCTAATACTCACACCTTATACCTGATACTCACACCTTATACCTGATACTCACACCTTATACCTGATACTCACACCTTATATTTGACACTCATACCTTCTCATCCTTGGAACTGATACTCATTCTTTAACTTACATTGAATTTTCCTCATACTACAGTTTTATAACCAAATACTTATAACCTTATACTTAAATTTTCCCCTTATACTTCGTACCTAATATTCATAAAGTATTCTAATGCCTCATACTTATAATAGAAACTTATACTTAAAACCAAACTACTTATACTGAAAATTATCTCCATTACAATTCACATTTTTACAATTTCTTGATTTTAATTTTTCATTTTTTCTTCAATTTCAATTTTCTTTTCGAGATAATCAATTTCCCCTTCTTTTCAAGTCGATCATTCCATCAATCACAAGATGGTCTCCGTTCCATCAATTCTTTAAAGATATCTATTTCCATTCTTGTAAAGTTTATCTTCAATTTCTGCTTCCTAGGAGATCAAGTTGACCTTTCTATCTCTTCAACTCTTATTTCTGCTTCCTAGGAGATCAAGTTGACCTTTCTATTTCTTCAACTCTTATTTCTGCTTCCTAGGAGATCAAGTTGACCTTTCTATCTCTTCAAACTCTTATTTCTGCTTCCTAGGAGATCAAGTTGACCTTTCTATCTCTTCAACTCTTATTTCTGCTTCCTAGGAGATCAAGTTAACCTTTCTATCTCTTCAACTCTTATTTCTGCTTCCTAGGAGATCAAGTTAACCTTTCTATCTCTTCAAACTCTTATTTCTGCTTCCTAGGAGATCAAGTTGACCTTTCTATCTCTTCAACTCTTATTTCTGCTTCCTAGGAGATCAAGTTGACCTTTCTATTTCTTCAACTCTTATTTCTGCTTCCTAGGAGATCAAGTTGACCTTTCTATCTCTTCAACTCTTATTTCTGCTTCCTAGGAGATCAACTCAACCCTTCAACTCCTATTCTAAAGGTGGTAATCAGAGAACACAGTGAAGCAGCCCCCCCGAGAGAGGCCAGGTACGGCAAGACCTCACCTGGGGATTATGCAAAATAGGGCAGGTTTTATATGCAAATTACACGTGTTTTGCCTTTTCGTGCTAACTGAGTGTGGTTAACCTAGAACACAAGGAGAGGAAGGTGAGCTGGTGGGCTTTGGGGAGAGGGGTGGAGAGGGGTGGAGAGGGAGGGAGGAAGAGGCAGGGAGAGGGGGAGAAGGAGGGAGAGGGAAAGAAGGAAGCACGAATAAAATGAAGGAAGGAAGGGCAAGGATAACGAAAGGAGAGAGAGAGAGAGAGAGAGAGAGAGAGAGAGAGAGAGAGAGAGAGAGAGAGAGAGAGAGTTTAAACAAAGAACAAAAAAATAAGAAAATATGAAGGAAATAGGGAATAAGAAAAAATAAATAAATAATAACTTTTCTCAACTCTCACCCGCACTAAAGCCATTAAAAATAATTAGCTATACATTAAGGTTAATTTACATACGTCGAAAAACACGAAAACAAAAAAATAAAATCTAAACCTATTAATTAGTGAAGTATTTAGCTATTTAATAAGATATTTAGCTATTTAGTGAGTTTTTTTTGTATTTAGTAAGATAATTAGCTATTTAGTAACATAACATAATCATAATCGCTGCCAGGAAAACTTCAGGTAACAAGACTAATTAATTATACACCCAGGTACAGTACACCTACTTCAGGTGAAAAATACACCACTATAATTCCCTCCCGAGATTAGTGGGAATTAATCTACTCTTGCTGTTGTAGGTAATAGTACTTGTTTTAATATAGCATCTAAGTTGGTATTTATTGTGAATTTGTTGATAATTAGTTATGTATTTTTAGTGTTAATATTCGTATTTTTTTAAGGATTTGTTGAGATAATCAGTTACGTATTTTAGTGTTAATTTGGGGGATTTTAAGAATTTGTTGAGAATTAGTTATGTATTTTAGTGTTAATATTAGTATTTTTATTTGGGATTTGTTGAGTTAGTTAGTTATGGATTATGTTATTGATAATGTGACTTTGAGGTTCTATTAGGAGTTGTTCCACGTTGTGTACTTAACTCATCACCACATACTGTGTCTGTCTGTCTGTTTAGAGAGAGAGAGAGAGAGAGAGAGAGAGAGAGAGAGAGAGAGAGAGAGAGAGAGAGAGAGACTAATTATAAACCTACCTTTAATCCATCTAGTAAAGTAAAAAAATTAATTAAAAAGATAAAGTCAAAATTATAAACAAAAATATAAATATAAACAATAAAAAAGTATAAACGATGAAAAAAACAAAACAATATAGATGACAAACCAAAGTGAAAAACAAAAGTGAAACGCAGAATAGTTTATAACAGGATCATAAGTACTAAAAATATTCTGAACCCATAGTAACACGTATATAAAAAAACAAAAGAAATACGCCCCCAAAACATTGATATAGACGCGAAAGGTAGAGATGATGTGTGTGTGTGGGTGTGTGTGTGTGTGTGTACGAGCCACTAGAGGTGTCACCATTTGTACCAATACACACACACACACACACCAGAGACACACACGTACACAGACACGAACCACATACACACACACACTCGTACACACCGCTCAAGGATACTTTGCTCTCCCATCTCTTTCCGTCTTCCTGGACAGTGAGTGGGAGGGAAAGAGGGGTGGGTGGGAGAGGGAAGGGAGAGGGGTGGGAGGGGAGGGTTGGAGGGGGAGGAAAGAAGGGTGGAAAAAGTAAGAAGAGAGAACAAAGCGGGAAGAGGGAAAAATAGAAAGGGGAAGAAAAACAAAGGAGTGGTAAGGGATGAGTTGAGGTAAAGAAGGAAGGAAGGAAGGAAGGAAGGAAGGAAGGAAGGAAGGAAGGAAGGAAGGAAGGAAGGAAGGAAGGAAGGAGGAGGAGGAGGTGAGGTAAAGGAGGAGCAGGTGAGGTAAGGCGCGGGTAGGTGAGCGTGTGTAAGAGGAGAAGAGATGTACTGCTGTAAACATTGGGTGTGACAGGTAAGGTCCAGCACCCTGCCATCTCCCTCCCGCCTTGATCCAGAGCTTGGGGATGGGTCAGGTCAGGTCAGATCATGTCAGGTCAGGTTAGGTCAGGTCAGGTCAGGTCAGGTCAGGTTAGGTTAGCTTAAGTTAGATTAGGATAGGTTAAGTTAAATTAGACTTAGAATACCTTAGTTAATCTTCAAAAAAATAAAAAAATGGTGAGTCTAATCTTCAGGTACCCTCAAAAAAGTCAAATTAAAACAAAGTACAGAAAAGAAACCTAACCTAACCTAACCTAACCTAACCTAACCTAACCCAACCTAACCTAACCCAACCCAACCTAACCCAACCTAATCCCAATCCTAACCCAACCCAACCTAACCCAAATCCCACCTAACCCAACCTAACTCTAACCCAACTCGTGTGCCCGAGATGAGAGAGAAATCTTTGGGTTGATAAGAAAGTATCTAATAAAGAAAAGTGGAGGAGTAGTAAGGAAAAAAGAGGAATTAAATATTTCCACTGATGACTTAATGCCCCTTCTCTAATAAGTTGATTCTGTTCTAAGGAGATAAGAGGAGGAGGAGGAGGAGGGGGGTGGAGAGAGGGGTAGAGGGGGGGAGGAGGAGGGGTGGAGAGGAGGGGGGTAGAGGAGGGGGGCAGGAGGAGGAGGGGGGTGGGAGAGGAGGAGGTGGGAGGAGGGGGTAGAGGAGGGGGGGTAGAGAGGGGGTAGGAGAGGGGGTAGAGGAGGAGGGGGGGGTAGAGGAGGAGGGGGGAGGAGGGTGGGGGTGGGAGAGGGAGGAGGGGGGGTGGGAGAGGAGGAGGGGGTGGGAGAGAGGGTGGGAGAGGGAGGAGGGGTGAGGAGAGGGAGGGGGGGAGAGGAGGGGAGGGTAGAGGAGGAGGGGGAAGTAGGGGAGGTAAGGGAGGAGGGGAGATATAAAAGGTGGAAGGAAAGATAAAAAATGATAAATGGCGGAGACGAAAACGAATAGAGAGAGAGAGAGAGAGAGAGAGAGAGAGAGAGAGAGGGTGGTAGTGGCAGCTATTTCTGTGGAGTGGTGGTGTGTGTGTGTGTGTGTGTGTGTGTGTGTGTGTGTGCGTGTGGTGTAGCCTTGTCTTGGCCCGAGTGTCTGGTCCACAGTATCGAAGTCTCTCGTTTAATTAACACACACTTTGTATATGAAAACAAGGTATGTATGTATGTATGTATGTATGTATGTATGTATGTATGTATGCGTGTGTGTGTGTGTATGTATGTATGTATGTATGTATGTATGTATGTATGTATGTATGCGTGTGTGTGTGTGTGTATGTATGTATGTGTGTAAGTATTTTAGCAATCTCTCCTTCAGACTGAGTACCTGTAATTTCAATCAACAACAACAACAACAACAACAACAACAACGAGCTACGGAGAAGGGAAGAGGAGGAGAGGAAGAAGAGGAAAGAGAAGAAGAGGAAAGAGAAGAGGAAAGAGGAGAAGAAGAGGAAAGAGGAAGAAGAAGAAAGAGAATAAGAAGTGGAAAGAATAAGAAGAGGAAAGAGAAGAAGAAGAGGAAAGAGAAGAAGAAGAGGAAAGAGAAGAAGAAGAGGAAAGAGAAGAAGAAGAGGAAAGAGAAGAAGAAGAGGAAAGAGTAGAAGAAGAGGAAAGAGTAGAAGAAGAGGAAAGAGAAGAAGAAGAGGAAAGAGAAGAAGAAGAGGAAAGAGTAGAAGAAGAGGAAAGAGAAGAAGAAGAGGAAAGAGAAGAAGAAGAGGAAAGAGAAGATGATGAAGAGAGAGAAGAATTACCCTGACGTGACCTCACCTCCTGACCCCAACACCGACCAGGTAAACTTAACATAGTTCACAATGCCAAGACTAAAATGGAACAATCGTGGTGGAACAAAACAGTACACTGAGGTAGTTTACGGGGCTGAACAACAGTGTACATTAACAGAACTTTACTTGGAAGAAGAACAACAGTGTGTACATTACCAGAACACTAGGATGTAGAACAAGCTGCACTGATCACCGTACCTGGAACAAGAGACAGATGAGTTAGTGTACAGGTGTATAAATTAATGTTTGTTGACGCTAAGCTAGGTTAGGTTAAATCTCTCTCTCTCTCTCTCTCTCTCTCTCTCGACCACCTACATAGAGGCTCCTGGCAACCCCTACCTGGCTGGGCGGGGTGTTTGATGCAGTTAATTAGGCTAGGGTGATCGCCCGGGCTTCGATTCCCTCCTGGAGCGAACAATTCTCCCGCTGGTCCACAAAGTATTGCTGCCACGCTTTTGGCTTTTAAGGTCAGAGGTCATCATGGTGTGTGTGTGTGTGTGTGGCGCGCGCGTGTGACACAGGTGAGTGCGGGGGAACATATAAAAACAACTTGGCAGGCAGGAGGTCAGCACCTGCAAAACACACACACACACACACACACACACACACACACACACACACACACACACACGGTGTATGTAAGTTAATAATCATCTCCACACTGTTGGGTCTACTGTATATTTTTTATGTTTACAATTCAAAAAATCTAATAGAAATATGACGCACAGACTGAACTTAGCCACTAAATAAATATCATCCTCATCAGGTCCAAATCTTCCCCCATGTTTCCCCGGGGCGACAACGGTTCACCCCTCTTATGATCTCTGTGTTTGAGAGCCGAGATCCTTGGAAGGTGTGACGCGCATCAGCACAGCGCCGCACCACTCTAGTTCATATGAAAAATCGATGCACATCACCAACCTCATAGCGGCGATCAACACAACCACAGAGTAACTAGTCAAGAGATTTGTTTAAGAAGTTCGGTAGAGCGTCAAAAATAGGAATGGTGTTCAAATATTTACACGAGGAAGGGAGAGAAGGAGGGTGTGTCCGTATTCTCACTGGGCGGGAGGGTAGGAGGGGCAGCACACGTCCAGGATATTTGAGGTGGGAGTCAAGGATGCATGATGAAGGGAGGTGGAACAACCATTGCAGTAAGAGGGGGGTTAACTCGGCAAGGGAGGGGGTCAGAGGGGGTTACTTATGTTGAGAGGTAGATGTTAGGGGGTACCTTAGCTAGGGGGAAAGGGAGAGGGGAGAGGAAGAAGGGGAAGTATGTGAGGGAGTCATGATAACAGGAAGTAAAGGGGAGGAGAGGAGGAGAGAAAGGTGGGGAGGGGAGGAGAGAAAAATGGGGAGGGGAGCTGTCTTAACTGGCCAAGCCGAAGGGGTAGAAACTGTCTAAGCTCTTATGACCTGTACGGACAGTGGTATGGCAGAGAGAAAGGCTGTCTCACCTGTCTCACCTGTCTCACCTGTCTACCTGTCTCACCTGTCTTACCTGTCTCCACCTGTCTTCCTACCTGTCTAATTTCATGTTTACCTCGACTGTCACATAGAGAGATGAAGGCTATTTAAACTATCTCACTCGTCTAAGGGCGGAGGCAATAGTGTGTTTATGAATGGTTAGACATGTATAAATAAGAATCACCTGAAAATTAACCACCCTAACCTAACCTAACCTAACAAACCAAACCTAACCTACAAACCAACAAACCAAACCAAACCAAACTAACCAACCAAACCAAACCAAACCAACTAACCAAACCTAACCTAACCAAACCAAACCTAACCTCCCCTGGGTAGCATTATAGGGTGTCTAATCATCCGGTGACCTTGATTCGATTGTTCTCAGGTCAATGGTAGAGACGAGGCCAAAGGTGACAAGTGGTACAGGTTGGCGACACTGCTAGACGTGGGGTGTTTATAAGAGTCACTGGTACTGCTGTTGGGTTTCGTTTTCTATGATGGCCTAGAGTAGTGTTAGCGTGTGTCTGTTAGTCTGGCGATTTAGTAAACCTGTCTATTTACTTATTTATTTAGTTTATAAGGTTCTGTCTGTCTGTCTGTCTGTCTGTATCTCTTTCCTTTTATCCTTTCTCCCCCTTTCCTTTCCCGTCTTTTTTCTCTCCTTAGTTCCGTAATACTCTCTCTCTCTCTCTCTCTCTCTCTCTCAGTGCCAAGGTGGATCCCATGCCACCTTCAAAACAAGTAGCTGTCTTAAAGGAGCAACACAGTGCCTAACATCATGTTGTTGTTGGGTCGACCTTCACACTCGCTTATATACGATATTGGTTCTTAGCAGCCAGGTGACGTGGCACTGTCTAGCTCAGTGTTATATAAATGGTGGCAGTACTAGTGCCAGCAGGAACCACGGGGGTTGTTTCTAGCCTAGTGCGAGGTCTGATCTGACACTCTAAAGGTCTGATCTGACACTCTAAAGGTCTGATCTGACACTCTAAAGGTCTGATCTGACACTCTAAAGGTCTGATCTACACAGTGAAGGTCTGATCTGACACTCTAAAGGTCTGATCTGACACAGTGAAGGTCTGATCTGACACAGTGAAGGTCTGATCTGACACTCTGAAGGTCTGATCTGACACTCTAAAGGTCTGATCTGACAATCGAAGACCTGAACTAACACACTGGCTGACATCAAGTACCCAAGAATCGAACCAATGACCCTCTTAGAACAGGAGACGAGTACTGTATCCACTTGACCACCGCACCACTGAATAATACGAGTGTATAATTATGAATAAACATACATAATGCGGTAATTACCAAAAGCGTATTAGAAGGTTATACGTCAATTCCTCGTGCGTCAATTAGCATAAGGGTGATAATCCAAACCTAATTATCTCCTTCAGTAGAAAGGAAGTTAGAACAGAAGTATCGGTGTTAACTCTTACGAAGCCTTAACGATGATGGCTTGTGTGGCCTCGAGTTTATAAAAGTTTACCACTGAGAGAGAAAGAGAGTGGTGTGTGTGTGTAACAACAAGAACAATAACAACAACAGCATGTAGGTTACAGAAACCCACTACTCTCTCTCTCTCTCACGCACACAATCGTCACTTGTTGAACAAAACGTCCCAGACACAAGTAAAGTCTTCTGAACTTTCGCCAGCTGTGAGACCCAAGTGTCAAGTTCCACCTCGACACTGATAACGCCTCACTCTCACCATCTCGCTTCCTTTTCTCTCGCTTCTTTTTTTTCTTTATTTTGTCTCCTTTCACATTCTACACCCCAACCCCCCAACCACCTTCCTTCACCAACAAGTCACATAACTCAACAAACTATCTCACATCTCCAGGCACCACAACACCCCCCAACCTCCACAAAGGGACTCTGGTGAAGACTCGAACTAAATCAACGAAAATATTCCCTCATTTTCTTCTGCTTCCCCAAGACTTTCCTCCACCCCCCTCATCTGCAGCCCCCCTCATCAAGACTCCTCCTGTTCCTCTTGACAAATGTCACCTTCTCCACTCTACCAAACAGCAGCTATCAATAACCTTTACCATTTATCAAGATCCTGCACACTTGCCAGCCATGGAGCCCAACCCTTCTGGCCCCCAAACCAGGGAGAAGGGCCCTTCTGGCCCACCAACCAGGGAGAAGGGCCCTTCTGGCCCACAAACCAGGTTACAGGGCCCCTGCTGGCCATCAGGGGCTGGTCTCCCTGAAACCCCAGAGATCAGACCCGACAGAGGAGTGTGGAGGCCGGAGGTGAGCTCTGTAAATAGCCTCGTTCCATCATCCTGGTCACTGCCACACCGCCTGCCTGCCTCTCCTCCTACTGCCGCCCCACTGCCTCTCTCCTACTGCTTCTCCTATGTTTTCTCTCGTTCCCTTTCGTCTTTATTTCTAGCCACTTCCCTCTTCATCTTCCACATAAATGTCTTCTCTTTCTACACAATTCTCCTTTTTGCTACACTCTTATTCCTTCATTTTCTTGCTTTCATCACAATTTTCCTCCTTCCTTCAAATCCACATCATTATTCCTCCTTGTTTTCTTCCCAAACTTCCCTCTCTCATCACTCTCCTCCCTCCCCCAGTGATCAGTGGAGGGGCAGTTAACTACAATATACACCTCGTTAAGTTTTATGCCATTAGTCCTCGTCAGACCTTGTTAGCCTCCCATATATCTACCTCACCCTTACGCTAATCAATTACATCTTCACTATAACACCATCCTATATTATATCATACCTAACCTTACAAACCTCTCCAACCAATCCTAACCTAACCCAATTCCATCCTTACTTACCTAACCTAACCAACTAACCTAACCTATATCACTATTATATAAGGTGACCGTAAAGTCTCTGTGAACCTGAGATCTAGAACGATGTTGTTATTTAGTTCTTTCTTTGTTCTTCATAAATATGGCCACAGTAGATGGTAAAATTGGATGTTATATCTAATGTTCACTATAAGGAGAACAGGATGTTGAACAAGGTATATAACAGTGGTTTTGGTTAGGTTAGTTAGGTCAGGTAAGGGTCAGATCAAGTCAGGTAAGGCAAGGTCAGGTCAGGTCAGGTCAGGTCAGGTCAGGTTTTAGGAAGATGAACCTTACGACGATCCCTTATTCCGATTCTATGGTCGACACTTCGATTGAGGGGTAATTAGTAAAACATTAATTAAACGAAAAAAAAAACAATCACAGTAAAACAAGTGACAAACACACAAACACGACGTCATACTTACAGCTGTGACGACGAACCAACTTGTTTATTTTTTTGTCGTTGTTAATGTTTATAATCCTGTCATAGAAGATACAGTTCTTTATATTTCAACCCCAAGATCATATATATATATATCACACTAGTAACTTATCACCATTGATTGTATTTTCTGGCACAAGGTCGGTTCTCTGTCTCTTTTTGTTTAATCGTTTATCTCTATATCTCTCTCTCTCTCTATTTCTCCCTCTCTCACTTTTATGAAATTCACATCGTTTCACTCACTCTTTGTTGACTCGTTTCTTTCTCCCTATCTCACTCTTTGTTTACTCCTCTCTCTCTCTCTCTCTCTCTCTCTCTCTCTCTCTCTCTCTCAACAAGGAGTAGGTGTCCAAGTAAACTTCACATCGGGTGTCGAGTGAGTACAAACACGCCAAAGGAAACACTTCAGTGGAAACATTCAAAACAAGAAGGTCCACATCAAGGCTTTAGAACACAGGAAATTAAGTGATACCGTTCTGCCATACATTAAACTAACAATTCACACGAAACGATGAAGTTGTCTCCAAACACAGAGTACTCTCTCACTGAGCCAACAACGACGGCAGGGATGGCACGGGAAGTTTTGTGACAGCCAGCTTAGACGAGACCTTGGCCCAACAGACACAAGAGGGCACTGCTGACGCCTGTTACCATTTCCAACTCACACGACAGACCTTGGGGCGTTTTCTCAACTGTTCACATTATAACTATCTCGAAACTCCTCACTACTAACAAAAAACAAATACTTTTTCTCCTTTTTCATATTATTACAAAAAAAAAACGGAATATACTCGTTTGAGAGAGTGAGATAATATAATTCTTGTTATTATTACGCAAAGACACTTCATGCAAGGTTTCCACGTCCGGGGGTCAAGCATCGTTCGTGGAAGCAGATCCGGATTTAACCCTCAAAAACCACTCAGTTCCTAGTCTTAACTACATAGGCCGATTAAGTCCAGATTTGAGTCACAACTCTCACTAAAATCCTGTAAAGACCGACAAAGGACAACATTATTCCGAAAAATCCGGCTTCAACTAACAAAAATATCAATAAATAAAGATCTAATTTCAGATGCCACCACCAGAGCCAACGGAGGAGATTCGAACCCTATAAAGTATCAGTCAATAAACGTCCAGATTTAACATTTACCGCCCAACAAAGGATCCGATTCTAACATCACCGATAAACAAACTGAATTCCATAAACATCGACCAATAAATACATTGATTTGACCATTTCTAGATAATAAATGACAGAGAGTGGCCATATAAAGGTTTGGATTAGACTCAAGTGACAAATGAACATCAAACCTCTAACTTATGAAGGTCAATAAAGGTTTGGATTCTCGTCTATAATGAATGAATATGTTCGTATACCGGATTCAAAAGCTTCGAGAGGCTGGCGGCCATTACATCGTCAGGGAGAGAGAGAGAGAGAGAGAGAGAGAGAGAGAGAGAGAGAGAGAGAGAGAGAGAGAGAGAGACATCAGAACAACACGTGGACGTATGATTAAAAATATATATATATATATATAAATTTTTAAATATCATAAATGTCCAAAACACCATTTTCTACTGTACGACTCATCGGTATATTGTCATGTAATTTTTATCGAGCACACACACACACACACACACACACACACACACACACACACACACACACACTCTCTCACTCACTCACCGTACCGAACTAAACTCGCCATGTACAGCTACAATCAAATATCCCTCTACACTTCACAATATCCTCCAACATCTTAGGGAAATATTACCCTCAATAAACCACAGGTAAATAGATTAATTATAAGGTTAAAGACCACTAAGACCTTTTGTTTTAACTCCTCGATAACCTGTTAAGACTAAGACTTTTCCAATACGCGCTTCAGGGTCTTTAGTTATTGAAGCGTAGAGTAAGACTTTGCATCCACTACACACACACACACACACACACACACACACACTACACTACACTACACTACACTACACTACACTACACTACACTACACTACACTACACTACAAGGCAACTTTACACACTAGTTCAAGTTGGTCTCCCCCCAAAAAATATAAACAGATACTTTCAATTTGGTTTAATTTTCCTTCAAACTTTTTCTTATTTTTTCTTTAATAATTTCTATCTGTTATTGAAGTAAACACCTGGGAAAGTATTATTATTTTTGTTATATGGGGTAAATACTTTTCTTCACTCTGTCACTTGTAGAATTATTTCCATATTTCCTTATTATTATTTTTTATATAATTTTATCACGCAATTTATTACACCGTCGATGTATTTTTTTTTCACTTCTGCAATTAAGAGAGAGAGAGATAGAGAGAGAGAGAGAGAGAGAGGAGAGAGAGAGAGGGAGAGGGAGAGAGAGAGGGAGAGGGAGAGAAAGAGAGGGAGACCTTATCAAAACACAACACTTCAGCAATACCTCACTGAAACACCGCGATGGAGAGAAAGAGAGAGAAAGAGTAAGAGAAAAAGAGAGAAATAAAGAAAAAAGAGAGAGAGCGAGAGAGAGAGAGAGAGAGGCCAGTATCGCCACCCTCACCGAACTTGTCTCTACTGCAGAAATAATCAACTAGTGGGTCTACTGAGCCCTCGTTTATTGTGTTAGTAAGACGGGATTGGCTGAGGTGAACACTAGAGCCCACTCGCTACTCCTAGACGATGTTGGGAGAGGGCCAAGAGAGAGAGAGAGGGAGAGAGAGCTGAGAGAGAGGTGGAACTGGTCACTCTCATCCGCTCTCATCGGGTCCACACACACACACACACACACACACACACACACACACACACACACACACACACACACACACACACACACACGTCTACAGAACCGGGTACATCCAGGTTAAGTGTTGAGTGGGTTTATTTTCTACGGGGTATCGGTACACATCTGAGTGAGTGAGCGTGTGTGTGTGTGTGTGAGTGTGTGTGTGTGTGTGTGTGTACGACAAATACGCACAAAACGGTCATAAAGACACCTACACATTGACAGACACTACACACACAAAGACAATAACACACACCAATATAACAATGAAACAACACACAAAAATTTACACTCACACCCACATACCAACCATCCCCACCCACACCTCCACTCCACCCCCACCCCACACCCACCCTTTTGAGCCTTCCTCCTTTCTCCTCTCTCCCTCTCTCCTTCCATTTAACATCTTTTCATCTCCTTTCCAGGATTTTCTCCTATTTTCATTCATTTTCTTCTATATCCTGGATTCGCTAATCCTTCCATCCGTTTCTTCTTCCTCCCTTTACATATTTTGATTTCTTCTTTCTCCTCCTCTTCCTCCATCCTCCTCCTTCTTATTCATCTTTCATCAGTTATCGTGTTTGATTTTTGCTCGGGTTTTAATGTAATGATTATATAGAATGTGTCCCTCCGCCACGTATTCGAGTTTGTGGTCACTCTTAACGAATTGTCCTCATACGGCGTTGGAGGGGGGAAGGGGAAGGGGAGGGGAGGGGAAGGGGGAGGGAAGGGGAGGGGGGAGGGAGGGGGGAGGGGAAGGGGGAGGGGAAGGAGGGGAGGGGGAAGGAGGGGGTAGAGGAGGAGGGAAGGAGGGAGAGGGAGGGGTAGAGGAGGGAGGGGAAGGAGGGGGAAGGGGAGGGAGAGGGAGGTAGAGGAGAGGAGGGGAGAAGGGAGGTAGTTAAGGACGCCCAGGTGGTAGTTAGAAGTTGGCGTAACAACTGAAGATTAACCCCACTAGTTTATTTCTCACCTGAAGATTAAGCACCCCTAATGCAAACCAAACCTAACCTAACCTGCTAACCTAACCTCACCTCACCTCACCCTCACCTCACCCCACCTAACCTAACCTAACCCTCACCTAACAGCCTCCTAGTCCCTCACACGGCTCCTCCCAGTTGTTGCCTCTACACCTGACGGAGTGCCAACTGGGTGCCTCTGTAATGGTGCCAACGAGAGAGAGAGAGAACAGTGTAGCCAGGCCCACACATGTGGGTCTTACGGTGACTGTGTGTGTGTGTGTGTGTGTGTGTGTGTGTGTGTGTGTGTGTGTGTGTGTACATCTCTATCTACCTCTGCGTGACTACATGTGCGTCTTCTCTCTCTCTAAAGTAACACAATCAACTCTCCTTCCCTGGCACTTAAACCTTTCCCCTAAAGTGTTTAAGTACGAAGATATTTTTAACTTAACACTTCAAGGTGAAAGAACAGTCACTTGGATTCACTTAGAAGAGCCGAACCTTAACATTTTAAGTGTATGTAATTTTTCTATACTATATATAAACAAGCTGTCAGATGTAGAGAAATGATTATATATATATTTTTCGACAGACAGACAGACAGACAGACAGACAGACAGACAGACAGACAGACAGACAGACAGACAGACAGACAGATTGACACTTCATGTGATTTTTTACGTACATGGTAAACATTTTTTGATAATTTACACACACACACACACACACAGAGAGAGAGAGAGAGAGAGAGAGAGAGAGATAATAAAGAGTGGCGCCTCAGTGAGTGACATACCTTCACCACAGAGACCAAGAGTCGCGTGGGTCACTCATTGGCCACTCCACCTTGTTATTACGGGTTGGGTTAGGTTAGGTTAGAGTGTGTGTGTGTGTGTGTGTGTGTCTCAGCTAGGGTCTAGGGATCTCTCACTTAGGAACGAGACAGATAAAAATGTTAATTATGCAGGACCCCGATACAACGACACCTCCTAATTACAACTGGTTAATAATAATCTTCATAATCCTTGTATAATCACAGTTATTCCGGATACCAAAAAATATCTAACTTAGATGGAATAAAAAGACCCAAGACCCACTTTTTTCCGAATCAAGACTCACATTATCCGAATCTACATAATCCAAGACCCGTTTAACCGACAATTTCATTATCCGGATAGCCTACGTCACACTGCTACTGCTGACGGTACGGATAATCAAACCTTCACTAATAACATCACGGACATCGTTGTAATTAACCGAAAGAAAATTAACCAAACTTCCCGACAAACTTTTCTTTCACTGAACAAGATGCTAATTAAAAGGTTCCCGGTAATTAAGAATATAGTTAACCGAATCACGCATCAGAGTAGTTTAGTCAACAAGAGATGGAATAATGTTTGGAGCACCTGATGATAAGACACCCCAAGATGATTTAAACCAAACCTAACCACCATAATGCTAACCTAACCTAACCTGGGGGAGTTAATTTAGGTTAGGTTAGGTTAGGTTAGGTTACTAATCTTAATGTGATCAGCGTAGATATCGACAGGTTCCTTAATTATGCCAATCAATACACCTTACCTGTACCACACCTGAGCTGACCCCTACTACCACCACTAGAACTACTAACCTGTCTCCTCTGTAGTCATAATAGTGGTAGTAATATCTAACCAACCACAACTACTAACCTGTCTCCTCTGTAGTCATAATAGTGGTAGTAATATCTAACCTACCACAACTACTAACCTGTCTCCTCTGTAGTCATAATAGTGGTAGTAATATCTAACCAAACCACAACTACTAACCTGTCTCCTCTGTAGTCATAATAGTGGTAGTAATATCTAACCAAACCACAACTACTAACCTGTCTCCTCTGTAGACATGATAGTGACGGTGGTGGTTGACGTAGCTCCTCCTCTTAAAACTCAATATCCATAACAAGAGTGAGTGAGGGAGAGAGGGAGGGACAGGTAGATGTAGAAGGTAGACAACCAGAGCAACAACACTACCCTTCACAGCCAACCATATAACACTGATCTTGGCCCGCCCTCACCACCCACCCACCCACCCACAAGATACACCACATTACCCACCCACCCACCAAGAAATATATCTCAATCTTACACGATATTCATCTCTCTATTTTATATCAAGATTGAGAAATATTTTTATAGATTCTGTTGTGAAGGATATTTTTAAAGTGATAAATATTGAGGATACAAATAATGAGGCAAGTGTATGTAGCTAAAGATAGGCTATGTCTGGCGGCCGCCCACCAGGTGGCTGTGGGCGGGGAGTGGTTGCATGGGGAGATGTAGGGGGAGAGGGATAGGGGGAGGTGTAGGGGGGGGAGAAGGTGTAAGGGGGGAGGAGGGGTAGGGGAAGTGTCGGGGAGAGGTTGAAGGGGGAGGTGCAGGGAGAAAGGGGCTGGAGGGGGAGGTGCCTTGAGATGCACAACCTCATTATAACGAACACGACCTTACTGTGAGGAATACCCGTAAGGATTTTATTTATCTTTATTTTGTCCAATGAGGAATATTCTTATGTTTTGTCAAATGATGAATTTACATTTTGTCCTATAAGGTTTTGTCCAAGGGAAACATTCATCTGTCCGGTGTGCGCGTAGGTGTGAGTTGTCAACGCACGCGCACACACACACACACACACACACACACACACACACACACACACACACACACACACACACACACGGGCATTCCCATATATTTAAAAAAAACACAGGGTTAAAATGACTTCAGAGGTGTGTGTGTGTGTGTGTGTGTGTGTGTGTGTGGTCTCGTCCGTGGTCTCGCTTGCTATCTCGTTCATATCTCGTCCGTGGTCTCGTCTACATCACAGGTATGAGCATGCCATTTTCTAATTTATAATAACCCCTGTCACGCCATGTACACCTGCTCGAGGCCAAACCCGTGTACACCTGCCTGCGGCCAAACCCGTGAACACCCGCCTGAGGCCAAACCCGCGTACACCTGCCTGAGGCCAAACCCGTGTACACCTGCCTGAGACCAAACCCGTGAACACCCGCCTGAGGCCAAACCCGCGTACACCTGCCTGAGGCCAAACCCGTGTACACCTGCCTGAGACCAAACCCGTGAACACCCGCCTGAGGCCAAACCCGCGTACACCTGCCTGAGGCCAAACCCGCGTACACCTGCCTGAGGCCAAACCCGTGAACACCTGCCTGATACCAAACCCGTGTACACCTGCCTGAGGCCAAACCCGTAATAAAAAACCATAATTGCTTCTCCTTATCAACTGTTATCGTCACTCGTGGGCCGGATATTAGCGCAACTCGGTTCGTGTCGGGTCACCAGCACATCTTCTGGGTATATTTCCAGGTTAGGTTAGGGTAGGTTAGGTAAGGTAAGGTTAATTAAGCAAGGTAGAGTTAGGTAAGGTAAGGTTAATTAAGCAAGGTAGAGTTAGGTAAGGTAAGGTTAATTAAGCAAGGTAGAGTTAGGTAAGGTAAGGTTAATTAAGCAAGGTAGAGTTAGGTAAGGTAAGGTTAATTAAGCAAGGTAGAGTTAGGTAAGGTAAGGTTAATTAAGCAAGGTAGAGTTAGGTAAGGTAAGGTTAATTAAGCAAGGTAGAGTTAGGTAAGGTAAGGCTAGGTAAGCTAAGGTAAGATTACGTAAGGGTTAGACTTGGCCAAGAAAGCGTAAACAAAGAAGCAACATAAACAAACAAACAAAGAAAACAAACGGAGCGACGGGCGGACATGACTCAGCAATTACCACATGTCAACAAACGAAGCGCGGCGATAATAGTGAACGTGAGAGACGAAGAAAGAGGGGACGGAGAGG